GTTAATTCCATGTGGGAATGAGGAAATGTTTTCCTGGACTCTTGGGTTAATTCCATAGGGAAACAGGATTCCTGAAATCTTGGAATTACCATGGAGTTAATTCCAGTTGGGAAGCAGGAATGGATATTTCCATGAAATCCTGGGATTAATTCCATAGGGAAGCAGGAATTGATATTTTCCTGAAATCCTGGGATTTTCAAGGAGTTAATTCCATGTGGGAAGCAGGAATGGATGTTTTGATGCCATCCAGCCCAAATTCCCCCCAAATTCCAAGTCCCCTCTCAAATCCCAGTCCAATTCCATCTTTTTTTCCCCTCTAGAACATTCCCAGGCCCTCGGAGCATCCATGGGACAGAAATTCCTTTTCCAGAGCAGGAAAACTCCTGGGAATGGTCACTCAACTCTTATCCAGCTTTTCTCCAGGAATTCTGTGGAGATCAAGAATCTGTAATTGGGAATATTTAGGAATATCCAGCAGTGCATGGAGCAGGAAAACCGGGATTAATTCAAAACTTCTGGATCATTTCTGTCCCTGGGAATTCCATCTCAGCCAGGAATTCCTTCCTAAAATTCCATCTAAATCTCCATTTTTTTTCCAATGGGAAGCCATTCCCTGTTTTCCTGTCCCTCCATCCCTTATCCCAAGTCTCTCTCCAGCTCTCCTGGAGCCCCTGGAATTTTCCCTTTTCCAGGAAAACATTCCCAGCTCTCCCAGCCATGCGTTTCTATCAAATCCCAGAGAATTTTCCCATTTTTGAGGGGGGAAATCCACAAGAATTTGGGAAGAACATGGAAAAAAAATCCCAATCCTGTGTTTTCCAGCCAGCTGGGCCTGAAGGAATTCCCAGTGGAGAAGAGATGGACGGGAATCTTTGAGCAATTCCAGTAATTCCTCCATTCTGGCTGCAAGGAGGAAATGGAGGAATCTTTCACAGGATTCCACATCCAATCCAGCAAGGAGCTGAGGAAATCCCAGGAATATCTGTTCTGTCAAAGGTATGGTGGGAATTCTGGGAATTCCTGAGGAAATCCCAGGAATATCTGTTCTGTCAAAGGTATGGAGGGAATTCTGGGAATTCCTGAGGAAATCCCAGGAATATCTGTTCTGCCAAAAAGGAAATCTCAGGAATCCCTGAAGAAATCTCAGGAATTCCTGTTCTGCTGAAGAGGAAATCTTGGGAATTCCTGAGGGAATCTGGGAATTCCTGAGGGAATCCCTGAGGAAATGTTGGGAATTTCTGAGGAAATTTGGGAATCCCTGAGGGAATCCCTGAGGGAATTCCTGAGGAAATGTGGGAATCCCTGGAATTCCTGAGGGAATCCCTGAGGAAATCTTGGGAATTCCTGAGGAAATTTGGGAATCCCTGAGGAAATGTTGGGAATTTCTGAGGGAAATTTTGGGAATTCCTGAGGAAATCTGGGGAATTCCTGAGGGAAATCTTGGGAATCCCTGAAGGAATCCTGGGAATTCCTGTTCTGCTAAAGAGGAAATCCTGGGAATCCCTGAAGGAATCCTGGGAATTCCTGAGGAAATCCCAGGAATATCTGTTCTGCCAAAAAGGAAATCTCAGGAATCCCCGAGGAAATGTCAGGAATTCCTGTTCTGCTGAAGGTACTGAGGGAATCCCAGAAATCCCTGAGGGAATCCTCGGAATTCCTGTTCTGCCAAAGGTACAGAGGGAATCCAGGGAATTCCTGACGAAATCCCAGGAATTCCTGTTCTGTTAAAGAAGAAATTCCAAGAATTTGTATTCTGCCAGAGGTACTGTAGAAAATCCTGGGAATTCCTGTTCTGCTAAAGAGGAAATCTTGGGAATCCCTGAGGAAATCTTGGGAATCCCTGAGGAAATCTGGGAATCCCTGAGGGAATCTGGGAATTCCTGAGGGAAATTTTGGGAATTCCTGAGGAAATCTGGGGAATTCCTGAGGGAAATCTTGGGAATCCCTGAGGCAATCTGGGAATTCCTGAGGAATTCCTGAGGAAATCCCTGAGGAAATCTTGGGAATTCTTGAGGCAATCTGGGAATTCCTGAGGGAATTTGGGGAATCCCTGAGGAAATCTGGGAATCCCTGTTGTTCCAGGCTCTCATTCCCACTCAGGAATTTGATGCAATTCCAGGAATTTCCCCGGTGTTCCCATTCCAGAGGAATTTCACACCTCAGGTGGAATTTTTGCTGCTGAGCTTCATCCACACCCATAAAAATTCCGATTATTTGAACGATTTTCATTCCCTTTTGGAATTTGCCAATCTGGATTTCTCCAGTTCCGCTTTTCCTTCCTCAATTCCCGTTTTTCCAGAGGCTCTGAGGAAATTTCCTGGAAAATTGAGGATATCCTGGAGGAGCTCGTCCAGCACCAGGAGCTGCAGTCTCTCCACACTTACCTGGAAAAGGTAACGAAATTATTTATTAAAATTATCAATATCTCGATTAATGAGAAATAATTTAATAATAAATAATTGGATAATCGATAATTAATACATAATCTAATAATAAATAATTTGGCAATAAAGAACTTAGATAATAAATAATTTAATAATAGGTAATTACTATTAATGTTACTATCATTATATTAGTAAATTATTCTATTAATAAATTATTCTATTAATAAATTATTCTATTAATAAATTATTCTATTAATAAGTTATTATCTTAATAAATTATTATCTTAATAAATTATTATAGTAAAATTATTATATTAATTGATTTTATAGTAATAAATTATTACATTAAAGAGCATATTATTTCCATTTAAAATATTAAATTATTATATTATTATATTATTATATTGAATGATGTTATTAAATTGTTATATTACTGAAGTTACTAAAATATAATTACAAGTTTTTATTGTTATCACCTAAATTTGTTATTATTATATAATTATATTAAATTAAATTATTAAATTGTTACATTACTAAAGTTACTAACTTATTATTACAAGGTATTATTATTATTACCTATATTTATTATTATTATTATTTATTATTATGACAAGTTACTGAAATTACTATTAGAGAATTTAATAATAAGGAATTTTAAACTAAATGGAGACTTTAATAGAAAATGGAATAATAAATAATAAATAGTGAATTCATGTAGTAGAAAATTTAGTAATTTTTAAATGTAATAATAAATAATATAATAAAAAATATTATATTTAATTCTCTATTATTCAATCATCTAAAGAATTTAATAATTAATAGGGACGCTAATAAATAATAAATAGAGACTTTAATAACAAAGGATTTGTATAGGGAATAGAGAATTTGACAATAGAGAATTCATTAGTAAACAGAGACTTTTATAATAACAATAAAAAGAGAATTTCATAATAATTGAATAAGAAATAGAGAATTTATTTCAAAACCAGAGAATTTCTAGAACAGAAAATTAATTAATAAAGAATTTTTATTGAGAAATAGCCAGGTTGTTTTTCCCTGGAAAAGCTTTTCCCTCTGGAATATCCCAACAAATCCCAAGTGGGGAACCCATCTAATAATTCCAGCTGGGAATTCCAGGAGAAATCAAAATTTTTTTTTTTTTTTTTTTTAAATTTCCCCTCTCCTCCTGATCCATCCAATGGAATTTTCCAGGCTCTGAAATCGTCCCTTCATCCCTTGGGAAAACTCCTGGGGGTCCTGGCTGTCACCTTCCAGGCCACCTATTCCGGGATCGGAGCCAACCGGCACCTGCTGCCCATGGCCCAGGACGAGGTCAAGTTCTATGCCAAGAAAATTTGGGAATTCTCCCAGTGAGTCCAACGTGGGCTGGGGAGCCTGGAAGGGATCCTTGGGGTAGCGGCGGTGTTTTGTTTGTGTTCCTTTTTTTTTTTTTTTTTGGGAATTCTTGGGAGTTCCTGGGAGTTCTTGGGAGTTGTTCTTGGGAGTTCTTTGGAGTTCTTTGGAGTTCTTTGGAATTCTTGGGAGTTCTTGGGAGTTCTTTGGAATTCTTCTAAATTCTTGGGAGTTCTTGAGAGTTCTTGGGAATTCTTGAGAGTTCTTGTAAATTCTTGGGAGTTCCTTGGAATTTTTGGGAGTTTCTTGGGAATTCTTAGGAGTTCCTTGGAGTTCCTTGGAGTTCCTTGGAGTTCCTTGGAGTTCCTTGGAGTTCCTTGGAGTTCCTTGGAGTTCCTTGGAGTTCCTTGGAGTTCTTGGGCATTCTTGGGAGTTCTTGAGAGTTCTTTGGAATTCCTGGGAATTCTCGGGGTATCGGAGCCAACCGGCACCTGCTGCCCATGGCCCAGGACGAGGTCAAGTTCTATGCCAAGAAAATTTGGGAATTCTCCCAGTGAGTCCAACGTGGGCTGGGGAGCCTGGAAGGGATCCTTGGGATCTTGGGGTTTGGGGTGGTGCTGCGTTTGTAGTCGGGTTTTTTTGGGAATTTTTGGGAGTTTCTTGGGAATTCTTAGGAGTTCTTTGGAATTCTTGGAAATTCTTGGGAATTTTTGTGAGTTCTTGGGAGTTCCTTGGGAGTTCCTTGGGAGTTCCTTGGGAGTTCCTTGGGAGTTCTTGAGATTTCTTGGAATTTCCTGGGAATTCTTGGGAGTGAGTTCCTGGGAATTCTTGGGAGTTCCTTGGAATTCTTGGGAGTTCCTGGGAATTCTTGGGAGTTCTTGGGGGAGTTGCTTCCTTGAGGTGCCAATGTCAATTAGAGCACAAATCTGTGGGGTTGGAAATCTGGGATTGAAGGAAAAATGGGATCATGGAATGGTTTGGGTTGGAAATCTCATCCAGTTTCAATCCTTTCCCACTACCCCAGGTGCTCCCAGCTCCATCCAGCCTCTCCTTTCACACTTCCAGGGATCCAGGGGCAGCCAAAGATTTTCTGGGAATTCCATCCCAGCCCTTTTCCACCTTCCCAGCCAGGAATTCCTTCCCAATATCCAACCCAAACCATTCCAGGATTCTCTGGGAAGTCAGGACAAATCCCAGCTGCTTTTCCAGACTGGGATCATCCTTGAATGCTCAAGGGTGGATCATGGAATTGGGACCACTCTGCTCCTTGGAATCCATGGAAATTCTGGAATTCTCAGCCATTCCTGGTGTTTGTGCTGCTCAGGGAGAAACCCCTCCAACACTGGGACAACTCTGCTGGAATTCCAGGGATTTTTCACTGGATCTCCCACAAATTATCCTTAAAAAAAAAAAAAAACCCAGGGAATGAGCTAATCCCTGTTTCTGCTTTTCCAGGGGTTTGCTCCGGCTGGCCCTGGAGCAGAAGGGCCGAGCGCCCCCCGAGGACCAGCCCAGGTCGGTGGCTCCGGGTTCGGCTTTTGGGAATTAGGAGGGGGCTCCGAAATTCAGGAGGTGCCGAGCTCGCCTTTGTGTCCTTGAGCCAGGCTTAGTGCCCTGACTTTGTATGCTTGAGCCAGGCTTAGTGCCCTGACTTTGTATGCTTGAGCCAGATTTAATGCCCTGTGTTTGAGCCAAGTTTAGTGTCCAGAGTCTTGTGTTTGTCTGTTTGAGCCAGGCTTAGTGCCCAGACTTTTGTGTTTGTCTGTTTGAGCCAGATTTAATGCCCTATGTTTGAGCCAGGCTTAGTGCCCAGACTTGTCTGCTTGAGCCAGGCTTAGTGCCCAGACTTGTCTGCTTGAGCCAGATTTAATGCCTTGTGTTTGAGCCAAATTTAGTGTCCAGAGTCTTGTGTTTGTATGCTTGAGCCAGGCTTAGTGCCCAGACTTTTGTGTTTGTATGCTTGAGCCAGGCTTAGTGCCCAGATCTGTGTTTGTTTGAGCCAGGCTTAGTGCCCAGACTTTGTGTTCATCTGAGCCAGGCTTAGTGCCCGGACTGAGCTCAGAGTGCCGAGTTTTCCATAATTTTCCACGGAGCATGGAACCAGCTCCTTCTCCCCCTGTTCTGGAGGAGAAGATGGTGCCAGAGGAGGTGGAAAATACGAAATAAAAATTGGGAATAATTGTGGGAATCAAGCTTTAGGATTTTGGGATTGAGAAGCCGAATTTTGGTTCCGTTGGCTCTGCTTGCTCCGGGTTTTCCTGCTGATTTTCCCGGAGCCATTCCCACAAATCCGGGAGAGGAAAAAGGGCTTGAATTTGATTTATTTGGTCTTGGTGGTCAAGGTGTTCCGTGGGAATATCTTGGAAAAACCAGCTGGGAATTGGCCTCTGGTGCTGCAGGTTTTTCCTGGATCCTGGAGAGCCTGGCCTCTGGAGATCTCCTGCAGCTCCAGGGTTTTTTTTATCCCAGAGAATTTCCTGGAGGTCTTCTGGAGCTCCAGGTTTTTCCCAGGGACTCCAGAGATGTCCTGCAGCTCCAGGTTTTTATTTCCCACTGAATTTCCCAGAGAACTCCTGGAGCTCCAGGTTTTTCTTCCTGGTGACTCTGGAGATCTCCTGGAGCTCCAGATTTTTTTTTCCCCAGTGAATTTCCTGGGCATATCCTGGAGCTCCAGGTTTTGCCACTGAATTTGCCAGAGATCTCCTGCAGCTCCAGGTTTTGCCACTGAATTTGCCAGAGATCTCCTGCAGCTCCAGGTTTGTTTTTTTTTCCCTGTGAATTTCCTGGAGATCTCTTGGAGCTCCAGGTTTTTTTCCCTGTGAATTTCCTGGAGATCTCCTGGTTCTCCATGTTTCTCCCAGGGAATCCAAAGATCTCCTGCAGCTCCAGGTTTCTCTTCCCAGTGACTCTGGACGTCTCCTGCAGCTCCAGG